TTCTTCCAATAAAATTATTTTTTTCCCAATTGTGTGAACGTAGCTGAAAAGCAAAAGATCTCCATCATCAGTAAAGTGAGCTATTACGCCCTGGCCTTATCACATCACAGCTAGATATGAATATAAATGCATTTTTCCCTGAAGTCTGGCTAGCAATTAATTGAGCCTGCATAGTTTATTCTGTGCGCTCTACCCAACATTAAACGATACTTCTACAGATTAGGGGATATATAGATATAGATATATATTATTTATATATATATAAAGAAACATGGCCAAACTGATTGCTATTGAGTATCCATAATCTCCACCAATAATTTAGTTGCACAGTGTATTTTTGACTGCAGACGGACCCCAAAGAAAATAGCTAGAAGCTGAGCATATTGCCAAGAAATATTTCCTTTTTTGTAACCGAGAACGAAGTGCATATGTTTTAAAACCCTATCAGAAATCGCAAAATATGAAACTGGATCCATGTGCTGTAATTTTTGAGATCGGGCCATTTGAGCTTCCCCAGGGAAGCAGCTGAGTAATGTTGGTGTAATAAGGGCACCTTCAGTGTTGGAATAATAAAAGCATTGTTAAATTGTCTAAATCCCACCATAAGGAAATGAGAAAGGATTGGTTAAAAAAAAAAGAAGAGGAATTTTCCAAAATAGAGCAAGTGGGGGAAAACCCGATGGCATTAATGCATGTAAAACAACGAGATCTTCGTAAAATAGGCCTCCCATCCAACAACTAACCAGACCTGACCCTGCTTAGCTTCCCACTCTAGGTACTGCCTTCTGCCAAATTAGGAGGGATCAATGCTTTCCTCATTAAAATTCTTTCCAAGGTCTTGCAACACAGCATCTTCAATGGCTTTAATTAATATTAATTAATCTTAATCCATTAAAGTATTGGACCATTTAATCTGTCAGACCATGCATGGATTATAATTTGTTTAAAAAGCAGAGTAACTGGTCCAAGGTCTGAAAAAAAACAATCGGTCCAAAAGAGAATCCGTCCCCTATTTTTCAAGAACGTTTATTCTAGGTAGATCAATTCAGGAACAGGAACAGCATTATAGGAGACACCTGTGTGTTCTCGTATGCTGGGATTTGAGCTACCTCTATTAGATCACGTTTATGTAAGCGAGCTGTTATACTATGCAACATGTTATTTTGGCGCCGCATTGGTGCAAAAAAATTTGCTTTATTTAGAATTGAGCACTTCATTTAAATCTTCTCCCACAAGGACAGTCCTGGTATTAAAAGATCTTATCTAGGAAATCAATTAAAAATGAGATCTATCGTTTTTTGCATGACTAGACAGATCCTAAGTTACTTTTGCAGCACCTATTAAGCTCATAGCCATTATAAATCTTCCCAAAGAGTCTTGTATGTAAGTAATTAGAAGCGCCACGCCTCTTCTAGCCGCATAACAAAAGCCCAGATAAAGAGTTTCTAAACCGCTTTTAATGGTTTTCATGGTGTGTTAACTTGAAAGTGATACCAGGGGTAATACACCCTCGATTAGGTTGCTCAGCCTGAGTCTCTTAGTAACACTCCCCAGTCTATTAACATTAAAAGAGAGTACATAATCTTGATAATTGTATAAATTCTCCCGTGATGCTGAACAGGACTGGGGGAAAAAAACATTTTGGGCTACTTAATATATTTTTCTGTTTATCTATTAGGCTTTTCCCCGGCCTTTTTGTCTTTAATGTGTTTTTTTTTTCCCCTGAGTATAAGGTAAAGACCAGCCCCATCCAAGTACAGTAGTTCTTCCAGGAGGAGCAGTTGAAATTAATGAGTGCTGGATTTTAATCCTGTATGGATTCAGAGCACCAAACGCCAGCACTCCAGTTGATGATGGCAAAGCAGAACATGAAGTTCACAAACTTATCCACCAGACCCTCCTGGAAAAGGCATTAAAGCTTCCACTTTATTATAGTTCAGACACTGGACAAGGCAAACGTCAGCCATGTAACCATGAACTAGGCAGCATCGGTCTCCAAAGTGCCTTATGGAATGACACGCCATGACAAGTTTTTAAGAAGGCTTCGTATATAGTACAAGCCTCGTCTGGTTTAGAAATATATCAGAATCATGCAGGAAAGGGCTAAATCCAGAACCTTTGTCTGTTAATTGGGGGAGATTTCAGGCCTGAGATCCTTTTGCCAAGGACATTATGCCAGGAAAACTGGAAACATTTGATTTGGTGAAGCCTTATAATTTCCAGGTATAGTCACAGATATTATGGGGATGGTTTAAATATGGTAGGTTGAATCCGTCATGGTGTCCATTTCCAGTTGTGTGCCAATTTTCTTGTTTCAGTTATTCTATCTTGAAGCAACGTACCGTCAAAATTTCACCAAGATGCAGATAGTCAGTTTCTGAGATCAAGATGGAGTAAAGAATAAGACACATTTGAGCCAAATTGTAAATCAGATGCATTACTTGGCTAATCTAGGGTTCCAAAGATGAGCTTGGAACATAAACAAGGATAATACAGATTTGAAACAAGCAAAGCAGAGTTTTGTGAAGCTGGAATAATGAAAGCAAGCATCTTCATTCCAGCTCTTTGATGAATTGAGGATGGGATTTAACTGTCCACTTTCCAATCTCTGCAGTTGAGAAGTTGGAGAAGGTCCAGTACTGAGTCAGAAGATGTTGGTTTGAAAAATACTCAGCTATGTTTTGAATTGAGGCAGGTGCTGCTTATCTGGGATCTAGAAAGATCTGGAAGCTTCCTGCATATCATTTTTGGTGTAGTGGTATTTCTAGAGTTGCCACCACTGAGTTGATTCATCCTCTGACAGCTTCAGGCATGATAACAGCATGTTCTCCTTTCTCCAGGCATCACCATTCCAGCACTTACTGGGTACTTTACGTTTAGGGAAATTAGACAGATACTTCTATTCTGCACTTAGCTGAGATTTTTTTTTATTAAATGATGCTTGGTTTAATTACAAATTCATGCTTCAGTCCAGAAATTATGCCAGATGGAATAAGAATGAGGAAATAGTACTCAAGAATCAATACTCACTTCAAAGGACATGTGAATTTCGTGGCAGTACGTAAGATATTTGGAAACTTATCCAAGGTCCAGAACTGCATAATATTGTCCTGCCTTAGGCTCAAAAGCCACCTGGGTGATTTAGGCCCAGTGTCTCTCTCTCTCTCTCTCTCAGCCCAGCTCACCTTATAGTGTTGATGTTGTGGGGAAAACAGGAGGAGGAAAGCGCATTAGGTATGTTTGAAACCCTTGAGTTATTTATAAAGTAATAAAGTAACTGAGGAGATGGAGATGGAGATGGAGAGAAGCGTGTGAGCAGGGGGCCTGGTGGGTGATTCCAGGCTGGCTGGGACCAACAGGAGACAAAGGGCAATTTGCCTCAAGTTGGTCTTACTTACCTCAGAAAGCCTCCCATTTGTCATGTCTGTCGAACCATGATTGACTCAAAACATTTGGATAGAGTTTCCACAATAAAGAGGTTTGTCCAGGGTTCAGATAAATATATCTTGACATTACGGTTTATTCTGGCCTTTTCTGCTGTTTAAAAACATAGTCTCCAATATATCATTATGTTTCACTGTTCCAGTGATGCTCCTTAAATTCAGTCATCTAAAATTGAGATTAAGACATCAAAGTGTCATTCTCCAATTAATGGCTGGGTGTATTTTATTTAAATAACGTAATCAGCGGTTTAACACAAAATCTGGGACAAATAGATACTGAGATGTCTCAGGGGAAACATCAGATCAATTTTTGAAATCTACTGTGATGAGTTTGATCAAGAATCAATGCTAAAATCATCTTTAGATTCATGGCATGAAAGACATAGAACTTTAGGGAAACCTGATTCCAAAATCCTGTTTAATGCTGATACGGTTTGTTACACAGCAGCCTTGTTTGGAGTAGACCTACTTAAGAGGGCGTATTCTCATGTCAAGGTATCTAGCAAAGATTTCTATCCCATCCGTTGATGGTGAGCTTTGGCCATCATCCGCTGCAGCTTTTCACGATCTTTGTTGCTAGAAGGAAGATTTCATGATATTGTTGCACAAGAAAGGCTTTGATTTTTACCCTAGAAACAGTGACTAGAAGACCTCCAAGAACCCTGTTATTCTATGTTCTAGATCAGGGTCTCCAAACTTGGCAATTTTTAAGACTTGCAGACTTCAATTCCCAGAATTCCTCAGCCAGATATTCCCCATGTTGGCTGAGGTATTCTGGGAGTTGAAGTCCGCAAGTCTTAAAGTTGCCACATTTGGAGACCCTTCTTCTAGGTGGCAAACAACCTAAAAATCTGCCCTCATGCCAGCTCTCCCCCTAATCTGATAGGTCATCGGTTGTCTCCAGGGAAGTTGCTGAATCTGTTGCTCCTGCCATTCCTATTGGGCGTTTAGTGAAAGCACTTTCCCCTGTATGGCTTTATCCGCTGCTCTGTCGACCGTGGGCCTCTTTCTCTGCAGGACGAGTTTGAAGCCTTGAGCAGGGACGCTTTGTCCTGGATCACAGCTACAAATATTTGGACATAAAAGGTCATCTTCCTTCATTTGTGCTGTCATCACATGGTCATTCGCCCATCGTTGTTGCTGTCAGCCAAACACATACAATACTGATGATACAAGATCAGATTGTGACTCTAAAATGCATCAGGTAGAGTTGATTTGAGCCACAGTTGCAACTTGGGTTGCATCTAGCGCAAATTCCCAGGTTGTGGCTGCAGTTATTGGAAAGCATCATTGCCGTGATGAACGTGCTTAATTGTCCATCCTGACGTTGCCCATGAAGGGGAAAACCTGCATTTTATTTCCATCATGTGTGAAAGGTCCTTGCCGTCACATCCAGGGGTCTTTTCAGTGCAAGTAACTGGAGGGTTTGCATGTGACCAGCCTAAGATAATTCTGTAAAAGGGAACTGCCCGAAGCAGCTTCCAAATATGCTATTTCTTTATTATCTGGCACTTTATAATTAACCGCTGCTTTTTATTGTTGTTGTTGTTATTTCAGGAAGCTGCCTCTTTTGCTCGAGAGCAAGGCTTTGAGGTGAGTGAGCCTACATTACACGCTAAGCAGATTCTAAAAGGGTTTTTTTTCTTGCTGATAATGAAGTTCTTTGGGACAGTGATTGATGTGCTATTATCCTCTCCAAGCTTCGCTGCGGTTGCCATAGAGACTTGGCAGTCGTCATGGTTTCTTTGTTCTGCCAGCTCAGTGTTATGACGCACTCGGCTAGGTCTGCACCCAACATCGCCTACAGATGTTATTTATTGAATTTTGAAAAGCCTCTTGGGAAGCTGAGAGGCTGGGCGCAGCTTCAAGCTGCCTTTGCAGATACGGAAACTGCCAGCCGGTTCTGCTAAAAAGCCAGCTCATTAGCTGAGTTACACTCCCTCAGGGCCCTCCGCCAAAGGCAGGGCCCAGCCAGGCAACATTCAGAATCAGAATGTGCCCTTTGGAATAATCTGGACCGTGCTGAACACCGACGGTCCCGATGCAAACGCCTTACAGGGGCGTCGCATGTGGAATTGTTAACAGCTGATTAGCGGGCGCCCCGCAGCCCCCTTGGCGGAGTGGGCTCTCCTTTTGTTCACCTGCCCAGGGGCTGTCTTCCATCCGGGCTGGCCTCTTAACACAGGGACGTCCAGAGAAGCTCCTTCTTTTGTTCAGCCCATCAGCTGCCTCCTTGTGGAAGGGTCTCCCTTTCCAGAGATGTGGGTGGGTGCTACACTCAAACAATTTGATCCAAGGAATTAGTGATTATAGGACGCAAAGGCGACCGCCCCAAACACAACGATGTAACAACCAATTTCCTCTAGTTCTTCAGGGTCTGGTGTAGGTCCACAACACTCTTGTTTAGAATCCCTTGCCTCACTCCCTTCCAAAAGGGTCGTGCATCAAACCAGTGGACAGCCAGGACTCTGCATGGATCAGCAGCTGTGAGGGCTAGTGGTCTCTGCCTTTCCTTTCAAGTATAAAGGAGAGAGGTGGAGAGGAACATCTGGCAAGTTTGTGTGTCCCCAATTTAGATTGCTTCAAGATAACACATAAAACACGCTTCTCTGTACTGTAAGTGTTTAAACTGTAGGCTTTGTCGCTTCATGCCTGTTCTGAATTGTGATGGACACTTTTATCAAACCAAGGCTGCGGGCAAAACTTTATTTTGCGCACTTGGATTTGGAATAACCTAGCTTAGCATCAACATAATTTAATCAAAGAAAAGCGTGGGTGGTTCATATTTTTATTTTTCCCTCGAGTTAGGAATGTAGAACATGTCTGATTTAGATTCCCACAGAATGGCAAAATCACGCTAACCTTTCCATTAGCAGTTTTTAAAATAGTTTCTAACATAATTTTTGCTTAACATCCTAAATTTGTCTCGTTTGGTTTTGACCTATCCAGAAGGCCATTTGTGTACATTTTATCCTTCATCAAGGTATCTGCAAAGCAGGTTAACAAAAATTAAAGATTAAATTAAATGATTTAATTCCAATTAATTAAAAATTTACCACCATTGACTGAATTAGAGTACAAACTGGAAAAAAAAACCTAAGATGGAATAAGGCTTTTTAAGTAACTTATGTGGCAACAGTATTAGAAGCTGTAAAAATTCAGTTCAGGTGATGTTTTAATGGTTGCCCTAAAACCTTAGAAACTCTGAATTAAATGATTATTCTTTATAAGATAAGAGCTGTTTTTCTTAGCCTAGAGCCTAAGTGTTTCATATTTAAGTAGAAGTCCCCCATCCTGGAAGTATTTTTTGGAGCAAAGCAAGTTCAGTATCAATCATGAAGTTACCTTTCCTAATGTTCTTGAAAATTTTATAAAAGGTCCTGTAGCTAACTATTTTTCCACAATGTGGGAATTTTCTAAGTAAGAACTTGCTTTTAATATGCAAAAAAACTTCCTCGTTACTTTCAAAAATGTAATTTCCTGCAAAATGTCATTCTGTATGAGATGTTGAGCCCCCCCAAAAATACAGATTTTTAAATTAAAAGGAATAACAAAATCAGAGACTAATGAGATACTGAAGAATTACATTCTTTACATGGAACAGAAGCCACTTAAGGTTAGTTTTGTCATCTATAAAAAAGAGAAAGAGAGGGATAGACGATTTAGGCCCCGTCCCTACAGAGTCCCCTGTGGCTCTTGACTCCTGAGGGGCCTTTTTGAAGCCTCTTGTCTCCTGAGATGTAGAGAAGTTGCCAAAGCCACTGGGGACTCTCCTCTTCTGGGTCCTTTCGGTTAGATAGCAGAAAGCTTGGGATGGATAATAGGTGTTGCTGCAGAAAGGGTGAGGGGGTTGAGTCATCATATTTGGAGGTCTCTTGAAATTCTCCCCACATGAAGGAAGGGAAATAGGAGGAGGACAAACCTCAAAATAACCTTCCTTTGACTTGATTTGGGCAGAGGTTGATCTTGTCAGCATGGGCCAGGCTCTTTCCGCTCTCATTCTTTCCTGTTTCCCAGGATTGAGTAATCTTCTGTGAGACTCCTCCCCTTAATGGCTTGCTCATACCCAAGACCAGGTCACCTCTTGGAAATCTGCTAAAGATGGCTAAGGGGACACCTTTGCCCCAGCAGTCTAGGCATCAAGCTGTCCGTTTCTCACTGCTACCAGCCAGGTGACTTAAATAAAAAAAATAACTGCCCAACGGTCAGTTTTTCTCCTCATCCCATTCTAAGGTGATCATCTGGATCGTGGAGAAACTAATTTGTCCTAATCAAAGTTGGTTGGTTAAGCTGTGGTTTCATTCTGACATCAATACTCCACATTCGTGTTCAAGTAAAAATAATCCTTCTGCAATCTGTTGGAAAGTTCATGATCTGTCTTTGAGAACTCATGCTGCTGCTTTCAAGATCCTTTTTTTTTTTTTGTTCCTTTCCCTTTTGCTCTTCCAAGACGGAGGACATTGAAGAGATAGCCCGAAAGACTCAGGGGCTGAAAAAAGCGAATCCGAAAAGACAGCGGGTGGTGGTGTTTACCCAAGGGAAGGATGACACTGTCATGGCCACAGGTACATGCTTTTTAACCATGTAAATTTAATTCTGACGTTTTAAGCCTTGCAATCCTTAAGAGAATATTGCGTTCAATTTTCTTCTCGTGCTTCCAAAGAGATTTAACAAATAAGAGTCAAATAAAGAAAGAAAAAAAACCAGTTTAAGAGAATGTACTGAATGAGTAATCATGGTGAATTTGGTAAAAAGAACACGGCAGTAGGCAGAACCAGTTGTTTATAATAAGAAAATCTTTGTGCACGTATCTCCCAGGGAGCGTGATAATATGAGAAGGATTGGGCTGGTTTAATAGGGTTTTCATATCTGAGCATCTGTCTGTTTGGACTTCTCCGTTTAGGAGAAGTATGGCTTTACTTTATACTCACCCAAGATATTATTTGGAAATATTCCACGATTGTATATACAATATCTATAAAAGTCACTTTTCCATTTTGAATATAAATGTGTTTTACATTTTGATAGTGGAAAATGTTCAATTTTATCAATTTTGTTACATTAGCAACCACACTCTAGGGATCTTACACATAATTATTTATCTGGGGTAAGATCTAAACATAATTTTAGACATTGATATGATTCTGAAATGTTAAAGATACCTTTTCTAGTTCATCTGATGCCTATGAATTATGCACTGTGCTTGAAAAGGTTTAAATTATTTACTTTCATTTAGATTTTCTCTTGAGTTGTTTCTACTTGATTATCTGTATCAAAGCTCACCAAGTAACAGATGCTGTAAGGATTAAATCCATGTAAGTAGTAATGGAGAATACAAAATTTGATATACTGTGAAGTGAATTTCCAGCTGGTTTTTTTTAAAGCAGGAAATTCCTCTTTTGGTTTTTCCCACTTGAGAACTTTTGGTCCTTAGAGAAAAAAGTGAAAAAGGAGCTTGTGTAGGAATGAAGTGATCTATGATATGCCATTTTAATCATTAAAACATGACTTTTCCTGCCGTTGAACACATTGTCTACATTTCTTGATTTAAATAGGGTTTTTGCAGGGGGGGGGGGAAAGCTATCATGCATTTTTGTCTAAAGCAACATATTTAATTCAGTTCTCTACTGCCTCCTCCATGGCTTTGAACTTAAGCTAAAGTCTCTTTTGGAACAGATTGTCAAGCAGCAGGTCTGGAAATGCTTTGGAAAGAACTCTGCTAATATCAGCAGAGCCAGCATGAGTTTGAGACAGACTGTATCTCTCTCTCTCTCTCTTTTTCTTTCTTTCTTTCTTTCTTTCTTTCTTTCTTTCTTTCTTTCTTTCTTTCTTTCTTTCTTTCTTTCTTTCTTTCTTCCTTCCTTCCTTCCTTCCTTCCTTCCTTCCTTGTCCTTTTCTTTCTTTCTTTTTCTTTCTTTCTTTCTTTCTTTCTTTCTTTCTTTTTCTTTCTTTCTTTCTTTCTTTCTTTCTTTCTCTTCCTTCCTTTTCTTTTCTTTCTTTCTTTCTTTTTCTTCCTTCCTTCCTTCTTTCCTTTCCTTCTTTCCTTTCCTTCCTTCCTTCCTTCCTTCCTTCCTTCCTTCCTTCCTTTCTTTCTTTCTTTCTTTCTTTCTTTCTTTCTTTGACTAATTAGCAGGCCAAAGACATCTGTCGTTGTACTGTACCTTGACCTCAATAAAGCATTTGGCAAGGTCTCTCATGAGGTCAAGGATGGAAAAGGTAGGCTAGATGGTCCTGTGAATTTGCAGTTGGTTGAACTTGTTTACCAAAATATGCCTATGAATGATTTTGTATCATCCTGGAGGGAAGGGGTGTATGAAGCCATCTTTAGGAATGGAATGGAAGATGCCATTCAGAAGGAATGGTGGAAAGGCTAGGGAAAATGATCTCAATAGAAATAGGCAAGAACCATCACCCAGGGGAAGAAGGCTGAAACATTTTCCAACTCCTGGATGACATGAGTCTTTGGAGTCTAAAAAATGGGCAGAGGGCTACAGCACAACCGGATTTGTAAGTTTTGTTATTATAGCCAACGGGATGTCCTTGGTGCTCTCTGAGCTTAGTAGTTTTCTTGCAGATGTCTCAGTACCAAACTAGGTAACGTCTTCCGAGCACTTTGAAGGACCTTGAGTCTGAACGTCAGCGGTCCCCAACAGCCGTTTCCTTCCATGGCAGAAATGCCTCCTCCTTCTAGTTACGAGATATTTGATGAGACGTTTCTTTTGTTCCTTGCCCAAGGTAGACTGCTTGGGCAGCTGGAGGGGAGGATTTCCCAGTAACCACACTTGCACGAGACTGTTTGTGACTCCCTGATACGCTGAGTAGTGAAATTGGCTAAGTTGTATTCAAAGCCACTTGCGCACAGGTGTGAGCTGTTTTCAGAGATCGGCAGAAGGTTGAGATCTTAGCTGCCACATTTCCTGTTCACAGATATCGTTGCCACCTACACAGGTGAACTTTGGCTCAGTGCTCAGGGTCTTTCTCGGAACGAGGCAGCGCTTGAGGACTAGGTAGCTGGGGAGTTAGTTAAGCGACTCCATAATCCTCTCTCGGGATTCACAAGTGTCCGGTTGAAGCTCAGATGCTTGGCAGGAACCTTTCAACCGACTCCTCGGCCAAAGAGCCTCCGCCACTTGGACAGGGGAGCCCTTCTTTGAAGCAGAAAGGCTGCAGAGAAGACTGGCCAGCCCGGGCACCCTCGGCTCCCTTGCCCAGGTAGGAGAACCGGTTTGGAGTAGGGATGAAGGTGCTGCTGGTCTAGAAACAGGAGGCGGTGAGTTCTAGTCCCGCCTTAGGCGTGAAAGCCAGCTGGGTGGCTTTGGGCCATAATCTCCTCCCATAATGCCTTTTCCTTTTTTTCTTTTTTCTGACAAGAATTTGGTATCTGGAGAGAAAGCTTCAATCTCAGCTCTTAAATATAAAGAATCTAGCCATTTAGGAGCTTGGAATTTGGTTTCATATTCATACAGAAAGAAAACAGCCCCTGATGCGGAAGAGACCATAAGCAGGAAAGTTATTGAGAGAACCCTCGTGTGGGTAATTAGGATTCACAATCCTTGGGAGGTGTATAGTTTTATCTAGCCAAGATGATATATTTCCCAGGAGTCTTGGGGTTATCTGAGCTCATCACATCTAATCCACCCTTCCCAGGAGCCCAGGAACACCTACCGTAGATGTCAGCCTGATTCATATTAATTTGCCTCATCGGTTTCCGAATAGACGCCCGTTGCTGATCTTGCTGCTGAATATTAAGAAGCTTTGAGCAAGAAGAAGCAAGGAAAAGTGTCCCCTCGCACCTTTGTGATTCTGCCAGAGGTTTTTAATTTCAGGAACGTGCATTAAGACAAGGGCATTTAAATAATCTGAGCTAGAATTAAAGCAGAGTTTCTGGAGAAACTCAAGGTAACTCAAGGTAAAGGTGGTTAGGGAACAGGGTGGGGAACTAGGGCCCTTTTATGTCTTGTGGACTTCAACTCCCACAATACCTGAGTAGCCATGCTGGCTCAGGAATTCTAGGTGTTGAAGTCCGCAAGTCATAAAGGGGCCAAAGTTCTCCACCTCTGTTATAGAACGCCTGGCTAAGGTGAAAAAAGTATCGGTGTCCAGGAACAAATCGATTACATCTAAGAAACGTGAAAAGTCATGGAAGATAGGCCCAGTGGCAGAGTTCTGGAGATTGGTAAATGCTATTCGGAAAAGAGGACCCAAGTAATTTGCAGATGGGTTAATGAGGTGCCAGCGGTGGACTAAACTTTGGAACATGTTGGTTTATGAACATTTAGGGGAAAAAAGGCATTGCTTAGAGGAAACTTCCCCACAATTTCCTTTATCGTATCACCTTCCATTGAGATCCGTTGGCCAAGGTATATGTAGTGGTCTACCACATCTAGTTCTGCTCTTCATGACCGTGCCAGAACCCTAAATAAGGTGGCTGTGCAAGCAGGTATGCTAGAACTTGTGAACTGCAGCAATCCACAATCCTGGTAAACTTGTCCACTGGTGCATGTCCAGAGTGACAAAATCGATTCAGTCAAATCAAGTGAAGGAACTTGTAGAAGAAGAGTCCTTTTCGTACTCTTCTTAACCTACTGGGGTCCCAGCCACCCACCTACCAACTGATTAAAGAGTTCCAGAAGAACCTGGTCATACCGGGGGAGCCAGTGCTCTCCCCCATAATAGGGCGGCGTGGGCAAGGTAGGGGAACAGGACTTAAGGTGTAGGATTAATTCTGGGAAAACAGGTTCTAGTTCATTCTCATCCGTGGAAACCCGAAGAGCGATTTCATCCTTTTACTAGGTGATCCTGCCCATCCCAGCTCAACCTTTGTTTCTTATGTCTTGGGCTTCTGGGAATTGTAGTTCACCAGCTTCTAGGGATGCAGATCTTAACAGCCAGGTTGCTTTTTGGTTTCCCAAAGAGACCCTGTTGTACTTGTGTTAGAAGTTTTGCACTGGCCGCCAGTTTGTTTCTGGGTAAAATGCCAGCAGCTGTTAACTATAAACTCCAATATGGCTTTATGTCCATGGAGGCTCTCGGCCATCCAGGTCGCAGTTATCCCAAAGGTGCTTTTTTTCAGGAGGCAACTGGACTTTCTTGTTTTTCTTTGAAGACCTTTCGCTTCCCATCCAAGAAGCTTCTTCAGTTCTGCCTGAAGTCCAGTTGCCTCGTGAAAAAGCACCTTTGGGATTCGGTCTAGCTTTGCTCCAAGCACTTAAGAAATTGTTCCTCCCACAACCCACTTCTGCTCACTGAAATTGCCTGACAGGTTTGCCAGAAGCTGCTCTAAGCAATGTACAGCAACAGTCAAAAATTCTATTTAGTTGACAAATTAAAATCTATCAGATCAACTCAGACCTTTATTACAGTCCTAAGGTCAGAGAGCACCACAGTAAAATGCATTAACCTGTAATTAGTACTAGCTAAACTTAAAAAAAAAGACATAAAATGCAATACAATTATAATAATTTTTATTATAATTGTCATACAGATAACAATGGCAACTGCAAAAAACTATTTAAAAATTTATGTATTAAAATAGTTTTTAGTAGTTGATTTTAATACTTTTTAA